TGTGGGAGCTTTCATGATGAACAAAATCACAGCCTCAGTGTGTCGGGTCACTGGAGACCCTCTACTCCTGATTTTGTGCATCCACAGTGCACGAAGGCTGGGGTTTGTTGGAAAGCGTTGGAAGGTCACATCACAGTGGTATCGGCCTGACGCTGAGCAAAGTGGCACACAGCACTGATAATTCGAGCCAGCCACAGTTCTCAGAAACTTTTGAGACTCATGTACGTTGTACTGTTTTAGTTTACGGGCAGCACTTGTTGTTCGTGTTGATCTGCTCTGACTGAGACAGGAAGTAAAGCAGAAATCTGGGTGCTGACCGCTGGTGACAGCAGATGTGCATTTCTGTACTGGTGCACAGAGCCTTAATATGGATGTTGGGTTTGTTTTCAGTGATTCTGGATCATTACTGAACCTCAGTAACGCTGAGTCAGTCGTCTGCAGTCGTCTCAGTGCTTCAACTGAACTGATCAATGTTGAGCTAATAGTCCAGATGACTCTGGTCTCTGTTTCTACTGTGAAGACAAAGACAAGCTTTATTAAAGTGATTCCCAGCTTGTTAGAGACGTGACTGAACCTGTTCCTGTTCAGATCTGCACACATGTTGATGCTCAGCTTCCAGTCTGACTGCTGGTTTCTTGTGTTGTCACTCAGCTGTATCTCAGAGGGCTCTGTGTCTGTGTCTGTGTCTGTGTCTGTGGTGGCAGCAGTGGTGCACATGGATAGATGAGGTGTAACAGGGGCCTCAGTCTGGAGGAAGAGCATCATGTGTTGATGTCGAAGCAGACAGTGAAGGCAGCCTGCTGGTATCACTGGTTGCCCCCCTCCTTCCCTCCAGGCTGCCTGCTTTAGGCCGCTGTTGTGCAACGCAGGAGGCTTCTGGTTTTCCGGACCCAGAAAAAAAAGGCCAAGAGAGGAAAAAGGAGATAAACAGAAGGAACAGAGGGCGGTTGGTGGTCGGAGGACGGACAGATTATCTCTGCGTCAGGTGCGACACTGAGCCGCTGATAGTGATTATCAACCACAACACTCTCACACAGTCACTGAACGGTTTCATCAGAACACAACACACACTCTGGTCTCCAGTCTGAGTCCAGACGCCCACAAACTGTTGGACACATGATGAAGCAACGGGCCCTGACATGTGAGGGGGCCCCTGGCCTCTTACAGGCACAAGACATCATTCTGCCATCTGTGCTCCTCTCTTTGTGTCTCCAGGACACTGACCCCCCCCTTGACCCCTCAAGGCCCTCAGGACCCTGAGGCCCTTGGCTCTGTGCCTGGTGCCACAGTGACTACATTTATGTGCACAAAATATTCCAGCTGAATGCACAGTGATAACCTGACGAGATCCTGACAGCCACTGCTGTGCCGTTCATCCGCCGCCATGACCTCATGTTGCATCATGATAACGCACAGCTCCATGTTGAAAGGATCTGAACACATGAAGCTGACAGGCGTGCAGTACACATGCTATATGGACACAAGTATTCAGACACCTGACCATCACACCAACAGGGACTGTGATGACACTGTAGTCAAATACATCAACTTTAACATGGAGTCGGTCCCTTCTGCAGCTCCAACAGCTTCCACTCTTCTTGGAAAGATTTCCGCCAGATTTCTGAGTGTTCCTGTGGAATTTGTGCCGAGTCATTCTGTAGAGCACTGATGAGGTCAGGCACTGATGTTGGACGAGAAGGCCCGGCTCGCGATCTCCGTTCCAGTTCATCCCAAAGGTGCTCGATGGGGCTGAGGTCAGGGCTCTGTTCTTCCTCACCGAACTCATCAAACCATGTCTGTATAGTTGTTGCTTTGTGCACTGGGGCACCGTCATGTTGGAGCAGAAAAGGGCCGTCACCAAACTGTTGCCACAAAGGTGGAAGCATAGCATCGTCCAAAATGTCTTGGTGTGCTGAAGCATTAAGATCGTCCATCACTGGAGACAAGGGGTCGAGCCCAAACCCTGAACAACAGCCCATCGTCCCTCCTCCACCAGGCGGGTAACGTTCTCTCAGCAGACTCGTCCATCTGACTGCCAAACAGTGAAGCGTGATTCGTCGCTCCACAGAACACGTGTCCACTACTCCACAGTCCAGTGTCGGTGTGCTTTACACCACTCCACCCAACGCTTGGCGTTGGACTTGGTGATGTGAGGCTGCTCGGCCATGGAGACTCGTTCCATGAAGCTCCCGCCGCACAGTTTTTGTGCTGACATTAACGCCAGTGGAAGCTCAGAACTCTTCAGCTGTGGGATCAGCAGAGTGTTGGTGACTTTTACGCACCGTGCGCCTCAGCAGTCCTTGACCCCGCTCTGTGATTTTACGTGGCTGAGCTGCTGTTGTTCCTAAACGCTTCCACTTTCTAATAATATCACTCACGGCTGACTGTTGAATATCCAGCAGGGGAGAAGATTCACGCACCGTCTTGTTTCAAAGGTGGCGTCCGATCACAGTACCACGCCTGAAGTCACTGAGCTCCTCAGAACGACCCGGTTTGTATCACAAATGTTTGCAGATGCAGACTGCATGGCTCGCTGCTTGATTGTATTCACCTGTGGCAACAGGTCTGATTGAAACACCTGAATTCAATGATTTACAGGTGTGGCCAGATACTTTTGTCCATATAGTGTATGTAGCAGGGGGACAGTTGGATCCAGGTGAAATGTGGCCAGTCAAGGTGAGAGCACCTGAGCTGATAAGAGGCTCATGGAGAACAGGTGTGTTGATCTGTGAACACTCCTGTGCACATGCTCACCTGGTGAGCCGAACAAATCCTGTGTTTTAGATTTTATTGTTTAGGTAGAAAACACAGCGTCAGTGTCAGAATAAAGGTGTGAGTGTCTTTTAGTGCTGCAGCAGCTGGTGTTGGCCTCCGGTCACGAGAGCGGCTGGTGCAGTGGGAGTTCACCTGTTGAGTCTTGGTGATATAATTCAAGGTTTGGTGTGTCACTGGTAGAAGTTTGGGTGTTAATTTTGTGTGTAGTTTTGGTTATCCACAGTAAGTCCTGCAGTGCTCCGGCCCCCTGCAGCAAGACGCTCCAGCTTTTAATTGCTTTTATATTGTTGCTGTTTGGGACCCTGAGTTTAACAGAAGCCTGTTGGGGCATTTTGAGCCACACTGACTGTAGATTTGTCACTGATGTTCACCTGCAGTTATCTGAAGGTGAACTTGAATGTTACACATCGTATGTCTGATACAGTACGCCAAAAATACCAGGATGTTATTCTGCAAGCGGTCACATTTTGCAGGATGTAAGCCAGCATGCTTTTCTGCCTGTTGTCAGTGGTGTAGTGGAGGGTGTGCGCTGGGTAACACAGGTATACACTGTGCACCCACTTCTTTTAACTGGCCATTTACAGCACGCAACCAGATTAGTCAGTAAGCCCCAAATAAAAAGACAACATGTGCACTTCCTCCTCAATAACTTACTCATCTACCTAGTAGTATCCCCATCTCATCAACTACCACTACTTCCTTCCCTCCTCCTCTTCATCATCTGGGACATCAGGCTCCAGTGAGCTCTTTCCATCCAATCCTCAGCATCATGTTGATCCTCTCCTCACGACCATCTTTCCCAGTTCCAGTGTCACAGCTCTGCACCAGGTGATTTTGGGCTTCCCAGGTTTTCTTTGCCTGGTGGTGTCCATCATGGTCCGGCTCTGTTCCATTCTCAACACATGACCTCACCATCTTAAATGTTTGTGTGTGGTTTCCTTGGTGATGCTCCAGCTTCCTGCTTCCTTGTACAGTTGAAGGTTTGAGATTTTGTTTGGCCAGAAGATCTCGTTAATTCATCGGAGGAAGACTTCCACTCTCCTCATGCCTGTTTCGACCACTCACCAACTCTCTGAACTGAACAGCAGAGCAGACTTGATGTTGCTGTTACACCAGAGTATTGTTGTATTGTTTGGATCTGCAGATGGAGCGGAGCTGGGAGGAGGCACCCTGAGCCTCTCCCAGCCAAACTGCCACGACACCACTGGGTACTGAGACCCACAGTCTCCTGCACAGTCACATCAGCTGAGCTGCAGACAGATGACAGATCATTCAAGTGTACTCGTGTGTATAATTAATATATTCATATAAGTACATTTCATACTACAGACTGCAACGGATATTTGAGCAGAAGGGCCACAGCTCAGGGCACAGTGTTATGATGAAGCAGTATTCTCCATCCAACAGTACACACTTAGTAAGATCGGCTGCTGTACCTGCTGACAGTGGAAAGAAACAGAATGCAAAGTGTTTGTTTTACCGTCATGTTACTTTTTCACACACTGCAATAATTTAATTTAACTTGTGCAATAACCCCATTCACCCTGACTGTATATATTCTGTTTGTGTAAATAATCTTGTTCAGTTTACAATATATATATGTATATATATATATATATATATATTTATTTACATTTATGTTTGTTAATAATTCCTGTTTATTTAACTATATATTTGTTAATACTATTGTTTAAATTTCTTATATTTTCACGTATCTTTCCTCTCTTGCAAGGAGCACCTGTAACATAAATAATTTCCCCTCGGGGATCAATAAAGTATTTCTGATTCTGATTCTGATTCTGATTACAAACAGATTCACCACCTCATCACTGAAAAAGAAAATTATACAAGATCCCACGGATTGTGTACTTGGGACTGATACCTGAGGACAGTATTCATTACAAGGACATTCATCTGTTCAAAATCCTAAATACTAACATGCAAAAAGGCCGTAACAAAGAAGTGGCTGAAAGGCAATCCTCAAGGTCCAGGACAGCAGCTGCACGTTGTAGAGGAACTGACTGAAGGACTAAAGCGAGGACTTCACTGCTTCTGTCTACAGGGGGCGCCAAAACCCACACAACATGTCGTCGTAGTGTCTCCTAGTGTCTGTAAAGAGTCACCTGTTTGATGATCTGACCCAGTTTGACTCTCAGCTGGGAGCTGTGGTTGAACTGGTTCATCACATTCAGCGACGTGCATCAAATCAGAACACAGACGTCAAGTTGAATAAAAGCATTTTATTTATATCTGATAATAACTGAACTCATCTCAGAATAACTGCAAGTCATTTATTAAATTCTCTGTTAGCTGCATCCACAAAGCAAACATGACTTTATAAATCTGTACACGTCATCAGGCTCACGCCGTCTATGTACAATCAGCTGATCCGTGATGTCACCGACAGGAGCTGCTTCCTGTCTGTCGCTTAGCTACACAATAGCTGTATCTGCTCGTCTCCGGGAGCGTCGTCACGGTAATTTAGATCTTAATATGAAGGTGTGTTCAGTTGACAGTGCGGCCTGCGGGGGGCGTCACACCGACACACAGCGACTGTTCATTCTTTTTAACGTTTCTACTCGTTCACGTGTCGACATCAAAACTTTAATCTCATGCAAACATGATGAGTCAAACTCTTTCTACGTCACAATGTTTCAATGCTACGTCCAAATTTTGACTTTTAAAATGATGTTAGTGAAGCTGCAGTTCACAGTGTGACCACCAGGGGGCCACAGAGCATACATTCAAACTAAAACTTTATTAAAACACTACAAATCATCACCTTTAAAATCACACATTTCAATTTTAGTTTTTTTCTTCTAACCTTTAATTTAATTTTTTATTTTTCACTTCAGGGGTTAAAATTTCACATAATCAATGTTTGTTTCAGTTTTCTGTTTCTTTTTAACATTTAATCATGACCTGATTCTCCTGAGGAATAAAACCTTTATCATTTGTTTTACATTTTTATTTTAGTTGAAGCCAATACGGGGATCTTAACTGTCTGTCGTGTGAAGCATCTGATTGGTGGAGAGGGCTAGGGGGCGGGACACAGCCTGACAGACTACATCTGGTGAAGGATTCCCATTTGAGTGTGAGTGTGAGGCTCTGATAAAGAATGGCGCTGCCAACACGTTCTCATCCCAACTTGTCACATATCGCTGTTTGGTCAGTGGACTCTCTCGACTACATATGATGCTCGGTGCCCTGGGTGCGTCTGTTGTTGTCATTTTACACCTAGAAATATACGGTGTCTGCTTGTTAGATGACAGACAGTCTTATCCAAAATAAACTTATAATGTCGATGAAACACCTCGTGTTTACAGTGATTTCCTTGTGCAACAAAAGAACATGGTTAGGTTTAGAAAACAACATCATGATCATGGTTTGGCTCAACATTGACACAGGAAGCAAACAGCGGGCTCCTGCCCCCCCCCCCACGCCTTGTTGGTACTTTCCAGCTCCTTATTTTATCCAGTAGCGTTCCAAACTGACGCCGTCCAGCTGTGTATCATACTGCAGTAAAAGGAGACCTTTGTTCATCGGTGTCTGACACGTAAATCACTGACCAAGCGGCGTTATGTGACGACCTCAGAGGGAGAGCACTGAGTATGGATGTATCATAAGAACTCGATACCGGACCCCAAGATGGCGCCTCTTCAGTCCAATGAGAATTGCTCACCTGGTGCATAGGCCAAAAAGTTTCTAGCTTGCTGGTGTTTCAAGTTTTTCTGGACACAGCAGCGCCGCTCTTAAAAAGGTGAAACATAAATTAAACACAGGTGAAGTTCATCATAGTTTCATGATCGCTGCTTGTGTTAGCGACTGTTCTCAGAATAATATAAAGTGAGCTTTAGTGAACGTGTAGCATCGTGCTCGCACACAGCAGTGACATCATTCAGGGAAAAAAAGACTTTTCTTTGGAAAAGTTTTACAACGATCGAACCTCCATGACTCAAAAACAAACAGCACAATAATGAGCATGTCGACGTGCAGAGGTTTCTGTCTGCAGTATTTCAGAACGCTGCTCTGTTGGGAAAATGAGTTTTGGGCTGCAGGAGATTTTTTCATGGACACATCCAGTTCTTAAATACATCCATGGCATCATGTGACTGGGCTGATGACCTCTTAGCTGATTGGCTGACAGGTTGATATACTGGCTGCGTCCTGATTGGTTGAAAATGGACAGTTTTTAAATATTTTAAATTTTTAAATATTTTTTTTACTTTTGCATCCAAGCTAATTTTTTTCTGTGCGTTTCTCTTTTTTTTTTGCAAAAATGGTGAAAAGTTCAGAAACTTATAAAACTTTTTTTTTTTCTTTTTCAGTTCAGTCTGCACTTCCTGTTTCAGCAGCTTCACTGTCCTGATACTGATCTCAATAAAGCTTCAACTGAACCACAACCAGCGGGCAGAGCCACACAGTCTCAGGTGAACAGGTGAACAGGTGAACAGGTGCTGAGTCATAATTTGGACTTTTAAAATGTAAAAGTTTTCAAATAATGTTTCTTTCTTTTTTTTTTAAAATCTGACTTGAAAAATATTTTTTTACTCAGTATCTCATGACTTTAACTTCCAATCAAAAATTTTGACTTATGTAATTAAAGAAGACAAAACTTATAAACTGACTTTGTTAAATCTGAGCTGGTTATCATCACATGTCATAAGTCTGAGATATTTCTGAGATAATACATCAGTAATTTTGAGCAGCATCTAGTGGCCATCAGAGGAACAGGGAGCACCGGGGGCTGATGGGAAATGTGGTCCTGATGTAGAAGTCTGTGGGCGTCTGACGGCTGATTGTGTTTTATTTTTAACAGTCCAACAAGTGACATCATTAAAGTTTCAAACAGGAAGAAAAAGAAAATACATCTGTTCTCTGAGCTTTTCAAAATAAAAGAGCTCCTTCTTTTTCACTGAGGCAACAGAGACGACGGGATTCAAACCAACAACCATGACACTGACTGACGCTCACATCAGAGCGTCAGTCAGCGTGGAGCTAAACCTCAGTCAGATGCTTTCAAAATAAATCATCATCATCATCATCATCATGTACAGGAAGCAGGATGTGTCAGTGTGTTTGTGACTCTGGACTGAATCCCGTCTCTCCGTGTTCAGATGCGATGGCTTTTATTGCTGAAGGCTCGAGGTATAAACTGAAGACTGAACAGAGACGAGCTGTTCGTTAAACTGTGACGATGAACAGGAAACTCTGCTTCAACATAAAATGCATCATCATGTGTTCACCTGATGAGGTCAGCAGGATTCATGTGTTCACCTGATGAGGTCAGCAGGATTCATGTGTTCACCTGATGAGGTCAGCAGGACCCGTCACAGTTAAAACACCTCACTGAGTGGATAAAGACATAAAGAAGCCTGTGTTTGGCGTTATGGGGCGGGCGGAGCACGCTTAGAACCGCCTGGTTCAAGAAGGTCTCGTGACCCCCTGTTGAAGTTTTGGTGACCCCTCATGGGGGTGGGGACCCACAGGTTGGACACCAGTGATTTAGGTGATGATGTGGATTGTTTTTTGGTCCAGTTTGCTCTTGTGTCATTTTGTTCCATGTTTGAACTTCCAGGGATCACATAATAAATAACGGTGTCATATATCTATATGTAGTTTGTACATTATCATTACTGTGACATGTGAGGAGCATTTTATTCTGGAACCTGGTTTATACAGAGCTCATTTAAGCATCTTTAAATCTGCAGTTCATCATGTTTTATAAAACTCACAATCTGTTTCAGTATTAAACTGGAACATGTCTGGAGTGCAGTAAAATATACTTTTTATGGATCTGAAATAAACTGCTATATATGTGAAAGTTGTTCATCACTTCCCTCCACTGCACCGTCTTTATTTTAATTAGTTTTATTTTAATTTATGTTCCATTTGTTTTACTTCTGTCCTCATTTGTTTGGTCCTGTTTTATTTTTTATAAATATTCAGTTGAAATATGTTCAGCTCACATTGTGCCCTAAAGATTCAAAATAAAGTTCAGTAGTTAAAAATAAAACATCCCGCCCAGCGGGAACGCTCAGTGTTACAAATCAAACAGCTCAGAGGGATTAAAACCTGTGAGAGGAGAGACCGAAGGAGGAGCTGCACCTGAGGACAGACAGGTGAGAGACAAAACACACCTGCACAGGTATCTGATAACTGTCCAGAGGAGAACCGCTGCGTTGCGTAGTGACGTACTGTTACCTAGCAACACGCTGCTTTACTTTGGTTGCTGTTTGATTGATGTTCCACCTGCCAAGGTGTCTACAGCCTTTTGCTTCCTGTTAGGGACTGTTCCTTACTAATGGGTAGCTAACGTTAGCATTTGCGAGCTAGCTAACGTGGTTCTTGCTATGGCGGCACAACGTTGTTGTTGTTGTTGTTGTTGTTGTTGTTGTTGTTGTTGTGTAAGTTTGGTTTATGTGTGTATTGACAGAAGTGTGTGATTTGAGACACTCAGGGTTCCAGTTGTCGAAAATTAACTATACAAGGTTTGTTTTTATTATCTGGTTGATTGAAAATGAAATAATGTGACTGCAGTTTAATTAATGAGTGTTTTTAATTGTGAGTAAAGTTCAGTGGAGGTCGTTAACTGTGACAGGAAGTCTCAATTTGATCAAGAAGAAGAAGAAGACGTCACAAACTCACAGCTGACATAGCTAGCTGAGCCTAGCGTTAGCATGTTAAAGGAATAGTTCAACAGTTTGGGAAACAGTTTCTCTCTTTCAGAGAGTCTCATGTCTATGTGTGAGCAGGAGTCAGGATGTGGTTAGCTTAGCTTAGCGTCAAGACTGGAAACAACTAGTCAGAGAAACATTTCCAGCACACATTTTAAGCTTTAGAGGTTTTGACCTTCGGACAGAGCCAGGCTAGCTGTTTCCCCCTGTTTCCAGTCTTTATGCTAAGCTAGGCTAATCACGTCCTGCCCCCATGTAGGCTACAGTTTATATTCTGACAGATTTCATCAGGCTGCTTCAGTCAGCTGTGTGTTTACAGCCGACTGCTGCTCTCTGACACTTTATTACACCAACGGACACTTCGTTCATGTTCTCAAATCACGTTCCTCTGTGGCATTCTTTTGTAATGACGTTCCCCTGTGACGTTCCTCCTGCTGTCTGAGAGCAGATCTGATGATGAAGCGTTTGAATCCTTCCTGGTCGTCTTTGGACCAGAACCTGAATATTCAGACCATCATTAGAAGCGTTAGAGTCCAGGCTGTGTGATCAGAGAACTGATCGGAGAACCGATCACCAGCAGACAGTCTTAGAAAATGCATAGAAGAAGAAAGATCCAAATTGCCCTTTATAGAGAGCAGGCTGAGGGGGCGGGGCTAAAGGGCAGCGCAGGGGTGTGTGGGAGCTGTAGTGTAACTGCAAAAAGGTGTGCAGACAGACAGACAGACAGACAGACAGCATGATGTCATGGATGGATGAGGGAGTCTGACGCCACAGAAATGTCTGTGATGTGTTTTGACATCTTTACATGCTACATTTTATTTTGGCGGGATACAGGAAACAATCAGGTGTGTTCAGACATTTAAACTACAGTAACGCAGAGGGACGTCCCGATCGATCGAGGTCCTGATTCTGAAATATTTAAATTATTGATCCAACATGAATAAAGGCTTAACTAGAGAGAAGAAGTCTCACTCTGCTGAGTTACTGAACTACAGAAACACTCTGGTGTTACAGAGTGAGGCGTCTTCACTCATAAACAATCTTTGGCTGAGTGTTTTCAATCTGCTGTAAAAAAGAAACATCTTTAAAACAACAGCACTGAAACAGACCTAAACCTGAAACTACTCCTGAACTACAGCAGCAACGATTTATCAACTAATCAATTTATCGATTTATCAGTCGACAGAAATTTTTCATTTTTTAAGGAAAAAATGACAAAAATCTGCTCCATAATGTGAAGATTTGCTGATATTTGATCACCTTGTTTGTGATTCTGACATTTTCTAGATAAATCATATTAATTGACGAATCACTTCATCCAGGAAATAATTGGCAGATTAATTGATAATAAAATAATAACAAGTTACTTATTAATCTGGGTTATTTGGCTCTGTGGTTTCCTTGACGACAGATTAATCCTTAACTCAAAGGTGCAGAGACAGGGGTTCAGCAACCTGCGGGGACGTGGACGGGGACACGGAGGTGTATGTCAGGTCTTGACATTGTGTGATGAGACGTGAAGGGACGTGGCGGGGCGTGAACAGGAAGTGGCAGGGTGTGACGTGGTGGCGTCTGTGCCTGCAGTCTGCAGGACGAAGGCTGAAATCAAATGAGGCACTTGTTATGATCCAGAGCTGCAGGTCCGAGCATCCTGCTCCACCATGGCTGTTGCTATAGAAACAGGTCATCTTGTCAGCCAAGTCGCCATGGCGATGTTATGGTTATTGACAGCCAACAGGACCACAGCTGGACCTGAACTGTGTGTGTGTGTGTGTGTGTGTGTGTGTGTGTATGGCTCTGTTACATCATCAGGGCAAAGTTTTTTTGTTTTTTTTTTTACAAGCAAGCAGGCAGATCCATCATCTCTGTTCTATTTAATCTCTAATAATAATATTAATATTAACGTCATTGAGCCTTTACATGTTTATAAAAATAAAAAATCATTCCGGAGATATTCACATGCTCAGATTACACACAAAGGTTCTCATGTTGTTTGCATACGAGTTTAAAGTTTGAGAGACGATGATGATGAGGATGAGGATGATGATGATGATGTCACAAACAGAGAGGAGCAGAGCCTGTATCACTTCGTCTTATTGATCCTGATCACTGGTATCATAACGCTGAGCAGCTGATCACATCCAATGATCAATAATCCATCACAGTGACACTGTGGGTCAGTGTGACGTGAGGAAGACGTTCAGGACGGATTCATGGAGAAACATTCTGCTCAAACCTGCAAAATTGATCTGGTATATTTTACAAAATATTTGGTTCTAGAAGTTTGGTGCCGACTCACCTGATCATGCTGCTGAGCTAACTGCTAACTTGCTAACTAGAAATACCAACAATGAAACATTAACCAGTTCATCGCAGAGCTGAAGCTCTTAGGAAACGTGGACAAATACAATAAAAGGAACTCAGAGTCGGACAGAAGGCTGTGTCTGTCTCCATATTTAACGCAGAGCAAAATTGAGCCTTAAATGGCTCAATTTTGAGCCATAAACACCGGTTAGCATCGTTACCTACTGTTAGCTCTGTTAGCACCATAAGCGGTGTCGGCACAGCTAATGGTGCTAGCATAGTTGACAATGCTAAATGGGTGTTGCTGTCCCAGTGGCGGGACGTAAAATTAGCAGTGTGCTAGCTAGCTCCCACTTGACCCTGTGGTGGTGAACAGCACAGAGACTCATAAGCTAACGTTAGCTAACCAGTGGAGCCCTGAGGGGGTTTTTATCTCAGATCATCAGATACGACTGACCAATAAAAATATCTATTGATCTTTGTTAGAAAACGTCTGGTTCCAGTAATGATTACGATTGGTTGGTGAACCTGCTCCGCAGAATGTCAGCATCTGTTACTATGGTGATTTAGCCTTGTTGTTACCATGGTGATCTGTGCACCAGCGTCGTGACACCAGAGAGTCTGAGTTCAGCCCGGACACGGCTGATAACACACTGATCTGGCGTCGTGATACAGGTCTGAGGATGCACTGAGGGATGATGGGTAAAATAAAAATAACATAGTTGGTTAAGTCGACGGCTGTGTGTGCAGCTGTTATGTCATTGGCCAATCAGAGGCCTCAAAACCCGCCCACCAGCCATTCAAAAAGTCAGTGTCTGCTTGCTCCTCATCCTCCAATCAGAATTGTCTGCTGTCATCCAATAAGACGCAGGAAGAGGCGGGTCTTCTCTCAGCAAGCCAATCAAAAAAGCCCTTATAAGTAGCCATAAAAAAAAAAAAATAAAAAAATTCAGCGAATGAAAAATGTCCTCGCCAGGAGCCAATCAGAGAGAGAGCCCGCCCAATAGTTCCCGCCCACTAAGCCGATTGCCAATCAAAACCTTTGTCAGTCTCTGCTGGCTCGGCTTCAGCCAGGGGCCGGGGGCGTTCCCCTGTTGCCACGGTGACTCGGCTCTCCTCCAATCCTCCCTCCATCCTGCTGTGGCGATGCTGGCTGCTGATAGGCTGACCTCTGAGAAGCTGGCTGCTGATTCGCTGTCAGACGGATGGCGGCGCCCGCCATCGTCATCAATTGGCATGAGGAAGGAGAATGCTGCACCTGACCTCCCAGAATGCTTTGCGTGGCGGGTGGTGCTGTCATGTCTCTCCTCCCTCCTCTCTCCCCTCTCCTCCTCCTCCTCCCTGTCAGCCTCTGTTGCTCTCCTCCTGCTCTTCGTCTCGCTCCTCCTCCTCTCCTTCAACCCTCCTCCGGACTCCTCCACCTCCACCCCCTCCTGCTGCAGCGACGTGTCCCAGGATCGAGCGCTGATCCTGGGTAAGCTCCTGCTCCTCCTCCCCTTCTCCCTCTGGTCGTCCCGCTTCTCCTTCTGCCTCACAGTCTGACTTCTTTTCCTCCTTTGCTCCTCTTCCCTCCTCCTCTCCTCCTCCTCCTCCTCCTCCTCCTGCCGTGCCTCCTCCTCTACGACATCCAGGTCCAGATCAGGAGGCCCTAACCCTCCTCCTCCTCCTCCTCTGCCTCCTGTTCTCTGTTTGGTTTCTCCCTCTCTCCTCCTCCTCCTCCTCTCTCCTCCTCCTTCTCCTCCTCCTGTACCACTTCCTCCTGCCCTCTGCTGGCTGAGGGAGGCGGTTGTCATGGTTACTGTATCCACATGTTGCTCCTCTGTGTGTGAAGAGGAGGAGGGGGAGAGGGCTCCTTCCTCAGGGCCTGTCAGACAAACAGAGACAAGTTCAGCTGCAGTTCCTCCTCCGTCCACCAGGCGCTGCTGTCATCAAACTCAAACACACTTCATCTGTGCGCTGCATTCCCCACACTGACAGACTATACAGTGCGCCAGAAAAAGATTCAGTCTGTCCCAACACACAGTATCTCAGAGGACGAAAGTACCAGGATGTTCTACTGATCTTGCAGTCTGAACACCAGCAGGCTTTACTGGCTGTTCTGACCCACAATCCTCTGCACAGCAGCCGATACGTCTCATCGACTGTCAGAAGTCACAGTGATGGATGACGGCACAATCAGGTGACTGATGACCAGCTGATGACCGGTTATGACTCATATCAAAATGGAAGATAAGCTACATAATCATGAACCTGCTCTGTGATCATGTGACCTGATCATGTGAATTTTTCTGTGTGTGCTGGAGTCCATTGGGACGTACTAAATCTTTCTCTGGCGTGTGATGATGGTCTGTGGATGAGACTGATCTACACAAGATGTGCTTAAAGCTTCACACATAACAGTTTGTGATTGGAGCCTGAATGTAAATCACATGACGCCTGTGTGATGAAGTCAAGAGCTGCCGGCTGCAGCTGGAGACTGACGATGATGAAAACACGGAGCGATGAGAGTCAGTGAAAAGTGAAAGGAAACGACAGTGTCAGAGAGTTACCAACCGCGAATTCTCAGTGCGTCCAATCACGTAGAAGCAGGGTTCACCCTGTTTAGAGTTGGTCATACAGAGAGACAGGCTGGACAGCTCCACTGAGGAAGAGGAGGAGTACGAAGAACAGGACAGGACAGGAAGAACAGGAGGAAGAGACAGTGAAAGTACAAAGTCAAGTCAAAAGAGTACGAGAGCAGAAATCAGGAGAATCCAGAGCTGTGATTGGACGAGAAGTCAGACGAGTCACTGAAGGATTTTCACTAAGATCTAAATCTTCATTTCTTTTAACGATCTCTTAATTATGATGATGATCAGTTTATCAGTCGACACAGGAAGTGATTTCTTCATCATTAGTCACCAGAGATGAAAAGTAACTAAGTACATTTACCTCGATATGGTACTTAAGTACACATATTAAGGTACTTGTATTTTACCTAAGTATATCTGATTTATGCAGCTTCATGCTTCTTCTTCTCATCTCAATGCTGCACTTTTTACTGCACCACATTCAGACCTTGTTCACACAGGAAGTGTTTGAGCAGCTGGAGGCTTTTTGTTCAGTTTTTAATGAGAATTAAACTTTTTGCTCATGTTGTTGCTACGCTCCTCGTGTTTCTGCGCTCTAGGCGCCTGGAGTTTTTGTCGAAGCGCTCTGAACTCCTCAAGTTGAGAAAGCTTCATCTCAGACCAGTAAAAAGGCCCCACGTCATCTCTGCTTTTCCTCATTGTCCAATGGGATGATGTGAGAGGCGGGGCTTCTGTGGTGGTCACAACAACCAGTTTACAGTTGGTAACCAATGGAGGAGAAACTGGTGGTAGTGGTTGCTGGATACCCAGAGCTATACGACTTTACAAAGCACAGTTAGCAGCATCTGAATAGAAAACAGCAGATAAGTGCAGTACTGTAAACGTCCATGATGGAGGAGAAGCTCCTGGACCAACTGGTGGTACTCCCCATGATCCAGCCTCTTTTTTAGGGTCTCATGTACCCACACAGATCTCTGTTTATCTGCTGACAGCCTCTCACCCTCAACCAGAGCTACAGACAGCACCCTCTGCCTCAACATGGCAGCAGCTACACACTGATTACTGCAGGATACACAAACTGTAGATTGATCACACAGGAAGGTTAGGGTGAGGAGGTGATGGGGTGGTTGCCTGGCAACAATAAAATGGCACAGCAAGTGTTTTTTTTACTAGTGGCATTCAGTTAAAAAAATAAAATAACAAGGCAGCGTGATGCGCCTCGTGTTTTGTAACCTGCAGAACACTTCCTGTGTGATGGAGGTCTGAATCAGCTGCTGTAGTTTCCTCCACCTGACACGTCATGATGTCAGTTTGTCCGTCAGCAGGATCACTGAATCACTTGATGATCATGAATCTCATTGGAGGTGTGTAACATGAGCCAGAGAAGAACCTGCTACATTTTGGAGTGGATCTGAATCACAGGGTGGATATTTGGTCTGAGCTGAGGTCAGTGTGTCTCACCGTAGTCGGGCACGTATCCGTTTCCTTTCTTGAGGACGAGGTGGATTCGATGTCCTCCTCTCCTGATCTGCTCCACAGCCTGACTGTGAGTCATCCCTGACGTGCTGTCTCCATTTATCTCCACCAGCTGGTCGGATACCTGAGACAACAGGTACACCTTTATTCATCAGCACAGACACTGCAGGGCGGACCAGGAGACACAGGTACGAACCAGACTTCACACATGAACGGGATTTTAATGAAGGAAGAATGACAGATTTATAAAACAGTGAACCCAGTCAGATCTACTTTCTGTTACCCTTTGAAATCATTCAACACTTCCTCCACTGATACTTCAAAATAAAAGCCTCCCCTCAGCCTCCTCCTGTCAGTGTGAAGTGAAACATGTGCATAGATGAACCAGGACTGTGTCTGTTCATATGATGTGAATCCTGCCTTTTATTTGAAATAATTATCTGGAGGAGATGATGATGATGATGATGATGATGTCACACAGATAATCACTGATGTAGTTGAGCCCTGCAGCCTGTAGAGGGCGCTAAGAGCTCTGTACAGTCAGTGAGGACCCTGTTGTTGTTGAACAGAGAGCAGGAAGCAGCTGGGTGTTGAATGATTGATGTTCAGAGTCTCACAGCTGCAGACAGAGAGTCAGTCCTCACACCCAGAAACACAACATGATTTCGTATAATAGAGCTGAACAACATGTCTGCTGGACTGTACTGGACTCTACTGGTCTCTACTGGACCCACTGACTCTACTGGAGTCCTTTGGGCTCCAATGTGAGTGTGAGTGAGAGAGAGTGTGTGTGTGTGTGTGTGTGTGTGTGTGTGTGTACCTGTATCTTGTTGCTGCGTTGAGCCGGCCCCCCGTCCATCAGTCCCAGTACGTACAGGCCCATGTTGTACTCGCTGCCCCCCCTCAGAGAGAAGCCGAAACCTGTAGGACCTCGTTCAAGATCCACACTGTAGAACCTGGACTCATCCTGACAGACAGACAGACAGACTGTCACGAGACTGTGTATCATACTGTAGTGTGTACTGATACTGATACTGTGAGGAGTGAGTGTCAGACTGACCTTTGACCTCCCTCTGGATCCTTTGATCAATCGGCCGTCGATATCGAGCTCTGCTCCTTCTGACAGAGACGACGAGTCTGAGGACAGACACACGATGATGATGATGATGATGATGAAGTAGTGTTTTCACAGACCGTTAGAACATGTTGGAGCAAAGATGAAACTGTGTCAAATATTTGGTTCTAGAAGTTTGGTGACGACTCACTCTGCAGCTGGTTAGCTAATGTCTGAGGGTGTGTATAAGTGTGTGTGTGTCGTACGGTGTCGTGGCGTGATGCTCAGTCTCAGCGTGTTCCCGGCTCTCCTCAGGATCTGGGCGAGGTCTCGGTGCTGCAGACCTCCGACCGCTCGGCCCTCCACTGCCTCCAGCTGGTCTCCAGGTTGGATCTGCCCGCTGCGAGCCGCCGGGCTGCCGCGACGCACCGTCACAAACCGGTGAGACATCAGGGAGGGGGCTGCAGAGAGGGGGGGGGGGGTCACATGGTCAGACATCAGCCAAACTACAACACACCTGTAACCATGGCAACACCTGCAGTGATGTCATCCCCTCAGGTATTAAACAGTATTATTAATGTAACTGATGATGGTCTGAGCTGTGATGAACCAGAGTCACCTGCAGAGTCAGACAAGTTAGTGATGAAGACTGTGGCTCGCCCTTCGTCCCTCCTGCACTCTGACAGCTGTGTAATAATACATGTGTTTAAATTATTGATCTGAGTTCAGAGTGTTCGGCCGAGCCAACGGCTGCTGCAGCAGGAAGGAGGAGAAGAAGCTGGAGTCAGTCAGTGATCACATCCTGTTAGACAAGACAGAGTAACTGTCTGGTTTTACCTGACGGCGACCTCTAGGGGTCAGCTCACCTGAGTCACAGCAGGAAGTAGTGTGACGTTAAAGAGCCTCTCAGTGAAAGAACATGACTGCGACTGAATCACTTGTTTTTACATTGAGTACATACAGCAGCTGCTCTTAACAAGGAAGACAAGATGTCTGACTGACTGTGTGACATCATCACCTCAGTCAGTGTTTGGGAACTGAGGACACTAACTGTTGAAGTTTATCTGACTTCAGTGTCTCAACAGTCCCATGATGCACCTCTCCGAGGTCGACGCTTCATCATGCTCCACACATGTTCAGTGGGAGACAGGTGTGGACTGCAGGCAGGTCAGTCTGGTACCTGCACTCTGTCACTACGAAGACACGCTGTTGGAAAACGTCACAATGTGTCTCAATGTCTCGCTGGAAGAAGACGGGACGTCCCTGAAAGAGACGGCGTCTGGAAGGCAGCATATGTTGCTCCAAAACCTGGATGGACCTTTCAGCATTCATGGAGCCTTCACAGGTGTGACGTTACCCATGATGCACCTCAATCCATCACAGCTGCTGGCTTTGAACTCTGAGCTGGTAACAGTCTGGATGGTCCTGGTCAGACCGCTTTGTGTCAGTCCGTCTCAGATGAGCTCGGGCTCAGAGAAGTGGGCGGAGCTTCTTCTGTATGTTGTCGACATGTGGCTTTCACTCTGCCTGGTAGAGTCTGAACTGTCATTGGTAGATGCAGCGATGTGTTTACAGACAGTGGTTTTCCAGAGTGTAGTATCCTTTACACAGACATGTTGGTTTTTAATGCAGAGCAGTCTGAGGGGTCAAAGGTCACGGACAATCAGCCTTGTCCCTTACCTGCAGAGATTTCTGCAGATTCTCTGAATCTTTTTATGATATTATGGGATGTAGATGTGAAATCACTAAATGAGAAACATTGTTCTTTAACTGTAGAACTGTTTGTCCTCACAGTTTAAGTTTCAGTCCTTGCTTGTGAACAGCTGAGCAGTTCAAGGACGTCTCTTTCATACCTACTAAAGCTACTTTCATCTGTTACCTGTTAACCTGTTTACCTGAGGAATTTTCCAGATGGTTTTTGAGCATTTCACAACTTTCCCAGTCTTTTGTGGCTCCTGTCCAAACTTTTTATTACAACATGTTGCAGCATTAAAGTCAGAATGAGTGTATATTTACAAAGAACAGAAAGGTTGATCAGTTAGAACATTAATATCTGTCTTTGGACTGGATTCAATTGAATATAGGTCAACAAGTGTTAACAAATCATTGCATTCTATTTTTATTTGGGTTTTACACAGCGTCCAAACTGTTTTGGATTTGGAGTCGAACCACTGAGAAACACTGGAGGAGGAGAAAGTTAGAACGTTTTCTGTTCCCACTTTAAATGCTCTCGTTCTTTCTCTGAACTCATTTTTGTGTCCGAATGGAGAGAAAAACAACATTTGTGGGAGCTGGCTCTTACAACACAGACTGCCAAGTTCATCGCACGCGCGCACACACACACACACACACACACACACCTGGTCCTGGTGTGGAAACCTCTGTGAGGGAGGAGGGGGAGAAATTCTCAGAAAGATTTTCTGGCTCAGAGACATTAATCACCTTCTGAGGACAAAGAGACTGAGAACACGACTAAACAAAAATGGACAGGTCACATGACAGACAGACAGACAGACAGACAGACAGACAGACAGACAGACCGACCGACCCTGGACCATGAACCAACTCCAACCTGCGACTGAGTGTTTGCACATTTTCATGTTTGAAGTCAAACAGCAGCAGATAAAACATGAACTGACTGAAGGACAGAAACTGACCTGCTCACAACACATCACACACAGGTGACTCTAACATGTAACTCTACGCTGTTGAAAGACTCAGTGAATGAGGACTGAACCTGTGGTCCTCTCGGTCTGCAGAACGACACTTCTCAGGCTTTAAAAATACCGACTTAATGTCTGTGTAAGAGGCTTTACAGTTACATCACAGCCAGCTGTGTCTCCATGGTGGACGGACGCTGGACAATCGGCTGCTGGTTTCATTCTGATTTCGAGGAGATTTGTGACACTGACACCATGAACTGCAGCGTCTCCAGTCTCTGTTCACTTCATGTCATCTCCCTGCTGTCTGTGATAAAGACAGAAAAATCTCCCAAAAGACTTAAAACAAAATAAATCTGTGATGGTTTCCTGTGATATTTAGAATAGAGTGCCAAAGTATTTAGAAATAATATGAGTGCTGAGGAGTTTCAGGAGGATCTGCTGTAGCACGAGTCAGACTGCCTCTCTTCATGTGTCAACTCATGACTCAAGTTCAGCTGCAGTTTTGCAACCAACAGAAACATTGGATAGAACAAAGGAACACAAAACAACCACAGAGAGACTCAAAACAATCATAAAGAGACTCTAGATTGACAAAGAGAGACTCCAAATGACCACAGAGACTCGGAGCAACCACAAGACACTATTAACAACCACAAAGAGACTCAAAAAAGAAGAAGCTGTGAGCCGGTTTAAATCATATAATGTTGACAGCAGTGTGTTTAACTGACATAAACTCAAAACTGTGAATTAGGTGCACCACAGGGCCCCGCACTGGGTCCTCTGGTCTTCTGATCACAGATATAAATACAGAAGATAATGAAGTAACGATAAAGTTGGGTTCTAACACTGATTGTTATGGATTATATATGTGAAATGAAATGAAAGCATTTGTTTCCTGAACCAAGAGACCTCATGGAAGGTTTAGAAAAAGGAGTTTTTGTTAGTTTTTCTCGGTCATCAGAGAGTTTGAGCTGCTCAGGAACTTCTGCTGCTGCTGTTGATGTTGTTTCCTGTCGAGCTCAGAGACTCACAGTATGCAACTCTGAACTGGACAAATAAACTGATCGGACTCAGCAGGACTGTGAACTAAACAGGATTCACAGAGAATGGACTGAGACAGGAAAAAACACCAGCATGGCCCTTTAAAGTCACTCCTCTAAAGGACTTTTAAAATATCAAAGAGTCAAAGTGTGTTTGTGTTTAACCGTGTTTAAACTGAACACACACACACACACACACACACACACACACACAGATGGAGGTGGGAGGGTGGATGTTAGCATGTGAGCTGATAAGCAAAGTGCTGAGCTCAACATGTTCAGAGGAAACAGAGAGAAATAAATGTACGAGGAGGAGAGTGTGATGTTATTCAGACCGACAGCTGGAGGGAAACACTGACGCTAAAAACTCACTGTGACTCTAAAAATATCCAAACCCTGAAATCACACAGCGCCACTGTTTGATGGCAACTTTATAACCTCAACATCATCACAACCAGTGGCATCGTTAGAGCTGCGTGTCTGAGGCTTCAGCTTCAGATAGCCTGCGATCTAAATCTATATTATTTTTCTTAAGAAACAGGAATGGGCCTAATAATAAAAAAGCCATGGATCTAATAACGTGTCATTTTGTTCATGCATTAAAGCCCTCGACAATGTTTAGTTTTAGGTCCTCTGTGTCTTTGAGCTGCACATTGTGTGTAATCATGCGCAAGAGGGAAACAGTTTGATGTTGCAGCTGGTGAAAGTGGAGCTCATTTTAAATGCTTTACATACGGCTCAGCAGTTTCATCTATTATTATACATCACCATTTATTATTGATTATATTTTGTATTAATAATCTGAGACTGCACAGTAACTACAGCAGACACATAAATGTCGTGGAGCATGAAGAGTCCAGTGTTTCCCTCTGACGTGTCGAGGAGAATAAAGTAGCATAAAATAGAAATACTCAAATACAAGTACCTCAGAATTGTCTAAATTTTAATGACAGCAGCTGCAAATCAATTCTGCTTCTAGTCAATGATCCACCCATTTTCATCCTCTTATCCGAGGCCGAGTCTCGGGAGCAGCGGGCTAAGCAAAGCACCCCAGACGTCCCTCTCCCCAGCAACACTTTCCAGCTCCTCCTGGAGGACCCCAAGGCGTTCCCAGACCAGATGAGATATATAATCCCTCCAGTGTGTTCTGGGTCTGCCCCGGGGCCTCCTACCAGCTGGACTTACCCAGAACACCTCTAACAGGAGGTGTCCAGGAGGATCCTGATCAGGGGTCTCATTTATAAACACTGCGTACACACAAAACGAGGCCTGAAAGAGGCATACGCCACTTCCCATGGAAAATCTGTGATCTGATGGGAGAAATTTTGACCCGTGAGTATTGGGGATCAGGTAGAAGCTGCATTGTAGAAACTGTCAAATATTTTTTGGTGCAGGGCATTTTTGTTTTTTTTCCATACGTATATTTTTATTTTATTTAGTCTGGATCCTTCACACTGTTTTATAAATGAGAACCCTGATGTTGAACCACCTCAACTGGACCCTTCTGACGTGAACAGGTAGCTTCTCTACTCTGAGCTCTCCCCCACAGTCAGTACTAATTACTAAAAACTACTCACGTATTTAACATCACAATTCATTATTAATCTGTAGTGGTCTCTATCAGTGAGGATTACAGATTACAGATTACAGATTACAACCATCTGAAACTCCTCCTGGTCAGAATTCCTTCAGTGTTGATTGTTGAGGAGCTGAATTATCTCTTCCTCTCAGAAACACACACACCAGCTGATTTACACC